ATGGAGAGCGGCCGGGGAGGATGGGGAGGGGGCGGTCATCATCCATAAATGACGTCGACCTCGTCTTTGCGATGCGGCGAGAAAAGGAGGGGGAGGGGCGGATGAGGGGGAGAGGGCGGGCAGAAATAACTCATTGGCGATTGTGTGGTGCTGCTGTTGTCAGCAGAGATCAGTGGCGTTGTTGTGTGCTGACGGACGCCGAGAGCAGCGCGCCAGCAGCAGCCTGGGCTGTCAGGTGGAGAGCGAGTGACATGGAAATTCAGAGTACAGAGGGAGACGAGACAGAGACAGGGGGAGAGGAGGGAATACATGCAGGGCGTATACCCCTGCCAAGGGCCCTCCAGGACGCCCCGCCCCACCACTGTAAGGCGGACTCAAGGCGATTGTTTTCCAGTTACCCCTGGCGTGCTTGGTGCAGCAGGCCGCGTGCGAAGATGCCGTCGTCCTGCTGCCGGCGGGGGAGGGGGAGTATTGTTACCCGGACGCGGCCGTCGGGCCCACGCGGCGGAGGCGGTGCCCGGGAGATAAGCGCCGGGGGAGGCTGGCGGGGCTGGTATGGGGCTGGTGGGGCTGGTGGGGCTGGTTGGCTGGTGGGGCTGGTGGGGCTGGTATGAAGCTGGTTGGCTGGTGGGGCGGGTGGGGTGTACGTGGGGTTTAATTGGTATGGGGCTAGTACTAGCCCCATGGGGTTGGTATGGGCTGGTCTGGTAGGGCTGGCGCGACTGGCGTGGTTAGCTGCATGATCACACTCGCCTTGCGAAAACCGAATTTCTTAACGTCGGGAGGGCCGAAAAAAATGCAGTGACATCACCTGAAACCAGTCAGAAGGAAGTCCACAATGTTTGCGCGGCGTTACGTATACTAGCCAGTCCCCTTGGACCGGCACTGGCAACCTTCTTTACGTTAAAATAAATAAGAAAATTACGACTTTAACGACGGCGTCGTTTTGTGCTTGCGCCCCTCCTCCTTGTTTGCGCAATAATTTTCTCCTATCCCAGCCGGCCCGGCGCTGTTTCCACAACCGGCGACGAGAACGCGGGGACCGACGAGGCGAGGAGGAAGGCGACTGGAAAAGAGAGGGATGGGGGGGGGGCAGTTCTGTCGGGGACGCTGCGCTCTGTAGGCTAACGTCGGAGCCTCGCCGCCAGGACAGGCACGGCTCCAGAGAGAGCACGCGGCATGTCCGCCCCCACCCCCTCCCACTCAGGCTGGGCCAAACGTGCCCCGGACACGGACGGATGGCACGGGAATCTGCACGTGCGGCGAGGAGGGGGAAGCTGTCATACGGGCCTAACCGGTTCGGAACGTGGCAACCGAGCGCAAGAAAAAAGGATTCCACCTCCATTTTAATGGCTTTCGTCTGGAAAGAAATTATGTTTTAATTATCCGCGAACGTTTGCTTTTTGTTTTGTTAGATACCAGCGGGAAAGACTTTAGGACCGTCTACAATGCAGCAAAGTAGAGCGGGGGGGGGGAGTGACGAAGTAGCCCCCCTGAGCGCCCCGCGACGTGATAGGTCGCGATTCGCGACAACTCGAATGCCTCGCGATGGGGGTGCCTCGCGACGACATACGGAGGAATATTCAATTAAGACCACGCTCGACGCACGCTCCCGCAAGCGCGTAGATTATGCTTGGCGGCCCGGTCTGCGGCGGAGGGTGGCGGGGCGGAGAGTGGGCCCCCCTGCCCCTGCCCCCCTGCCCGCAGCCCGAGGAACGCACTCCCGAGAGCGTGGCCCGCACGCTTGCAGGAGCGTGCGCCCAGTGTGGGCAGAATTGAATACAGCCATACAGCTCGCGAAGCGCCGCCCCCGCAGTGTGGTGCGACAGACCCAGACATCTTCGCGGGGCATTTGCGAGGGGCAGCATCCTAACCTCAGTTCCCTTACTCTACTTTTAAACCCTACTCTACCCTCATTGTAGACGCCCCTTTTAATGATACATTTGACATTGAATGGGGGAATCTCGAAATAACGGACGTGTAAGACGTTGACAAGTAACAAGGAGGGCAAGAGAAAAGGGGGACGTACGATAAGGGGAAACGGACCACCACCTCACCCGTCGCCGTCAATAATTCAGCTAGCGAAGGAAGAATAGCAGATGGAACAACAACCCTCCCAATTAGTCGAGAGCTTCGAAGCTTTTACGTCGCGCCGTAAGGGGTCGACCAATCAAGCTTTCCCTCTTCCCCAATTCGCTGAAGTATAGTACACTTTTTCACACTATTTAGTTCTTCTTGTCGACTTTCTATTTCCGTCTTGAAATTCATCGGAAATGTGCCATGTGCTCCAGTCGTGCAAGTACTTTATCAAAAATCCATGATTTCTGAAAATAAACTCAAATGTTTCTGAACCAAATGTTTCGTAACTCAAAACATTAGAAATTCCACAGTTTTCTTTCACGAAATGTGCTTTAGGCTGGTGGTGTACGAAATGTGCAAAGAAACTCGACTTGTCAAATCGACAAATCGACTTGATTTGATCAAATCAGCCATAGCTGATGTTTTCTGAACGCTAACACCCCTCCGTCTTTGGTAATCAATCAAATAAATGTCAATTTGTCGAGAATTCGTCGTGGCAAAATCAAATTGTGGGCCTCGTTTTCATCAAATTTACGTATTTTTTGTCAAATACTCACGACTTTGGCTTTGATCTTTGCGAACTGGGTCCTACAGCGGTTGTGGCCCCCTAGCCTATGACATTTGAGTGGGTGGGAGTAATAACCCAGAGAGGTTATCCACAACAAAAATATCTCAATCCTGCCACGGACACAACACGCACGGCGCACGGCGCTCTTCGATCAGGTATCGACCTCCGATCGTAAATATTGTCCCCCGCTTCTCTGCCGTAACGCGCGTCATTCGGCCCGCCCACGTAAACAAGCCCCGGGGCGACCTAACCTCACATTCCGCTCGGGCTCCAAGGCGAGGGACCTGGCCAGACAGCCTCCGCCCCGGGGGCGAGCAGGCTGCGGGTGCCACGGCCACGACGGCCTCCCTCTCGTGCTCGTGGGGCAGCATTCACCAGGACAGGGACGACGTTGGCGGGAAAACAAGAGATGGAAAGGGTTTCTGCTCGAGCGAGTGGGGCTATCGATCCTCGGGTCGCAAGGCCAGTGCGCCCATGCCCAGCACCCCGCCGCCCGACTTGAACGGCGGGATTTGAATGACAGCTGCCTAACGGACGGCCCTCGTGTGCACCTCCGAGATGTACTCACCCGCCTCGATGGCCCGGATCTCGGGGCCGTCTCCGATCGCCCCCATGGTGGCGCCCTGGCCGTCGCCCGCGCCCTCCGCCTCGCGCAGCACTCGGTGGAAGCTGAAGCCACTCCGGGAGAACAGTGGGAAATGGCTGGCGGCGGGGACGCCCAGCACGTACGAGTAGCCCCCCGACTTCCCCGTCGTGCGGCTGTGGTCGTTCGCCGGGGTCACAGGGGTGTGCGGCAGCACGTCGTCCACAAAAGGGGCAAAAAACCGCGACGGGCGACGGTGCGACTCGCGGACCACCCTTATGGAGTCGGGTTGTGATGGCGGCGCTGCCTGCGCGGTCTGCCGCGGGGGGGCGCTGCGGCGGGGGCGGCTCGCCCGGTCAATACGAGCTCGGCTGGGGTCTGCGCCTGGGCCGCGCTGGCGCTGGCGGCGGCACGTGGGCGGGGGCGGCGCTGGGGCCGATGGGGACGGGGCTCCGTTCTGCTCCGGGCCCGGGTAGTGTTGGGGGCCCTCGGGGGGCCGCCATCTTGGCGCGTCACACGCTGTTGCTGGTGGAGGCGGGAGGGGCGGGGGTGGCCCGGTGCGCCCGCACCGCACACCCGGGGGGTGAGGGCTGACAGCCTGGCCGGGCCAGCGGCCACCCCACCGCACCCAGCCCGCCGCCTTTAGGCTTTCCAGTTGCGGCAGGTCGCGCCCGCGGCCCACCGAGATGGGCCCGTCGGAAGCCCACCCCGAGGGCGTCTGCGGTGGGGCGTGCGACACGCAGGGGAGCCCTGTGTTGCGATGGTTGACAGCTACAATTGGACTGTGTCGGGGCAGTGCAGCCGACCTCCAACCCTCCCCCTGGGCCGGAGAGTTTGCCACTGCGCTGCGGCCGGGGACACGCGCCAGAGTCCATGTCGTGGTTGTTGGCGGTTACAATTGGGCTGGACTGGACAAACGTTTAGTACGGACCCTGCACCCCCCTCCCCGTCCCTTTCCCTTTCCACCACCACCACCCTAAGCCCCATTCCTATGGTCGCCTTGGCGCTCGCTCTTGGGATCACATTGCAGGCGGGGACTGCGGAGAGGGCTGGTCCGCCCGGGGGGTAGGCAAACCAACGTGCTCGGCCGCCCGGCCGGATGCATGCCGACCCCACCCGGCGCGCTATCGGCAGCGGGACGGTCAGCTGCTGCTGTTGCCCACGTCTTCGCGCCCCGGCCCCAGCTTTTGTGTGACTTCCCGTGAGCGGGCATGTGCTGATAGTGTGACGGGTAGAAGCGTGCTCCGAAAGAAACGCATAGCTGTTGACATTTTATTTACAATCGCAAATGCGGGACTGCTGATCTTTACAAAATCCGTTATTAAGAAATAAATATAACGTTTATTTATAAACATAATAATACAATTCAACATAATGGTTGGAAAAAAGATGTCATTGCCCTTTTCTAAACAAAGAGAGAGAGAAAAAGATTGTGTGAGTGTGCGTGGTTACCCCTTCCAAAAGAGAGTTTTGATCTGACCAGTGAAAATGTTTATTCAACGCGTAGAGAACCATCCATTTCTAGAGATGTCATCATGATCGGGCGCCTTCTGCTTGTTTTCACACGCCTTCAAACCGCAGGTTATCGTGTGCTGCGTACCACGGGAAGCATTGTCCAGGCCGGCCATCGAGAGAATAAAACCACTTTGGTCACGAACGAGTACAACAAAGCTAGAGAGAGTGACAGCAGCAGTTTTTATTTGTAATGTCAGTGCGATGGTGATGCCTGGTGGTGATGATGGTGGTGATGGTGATTTGGTCTTCAGCCGGCCTGGGCGCTGGTGAGCCGCGCCGGCTCGCGCGGACGTCCGTTTAGTAACCGGCCAACTCGGCGAAGGTGGAGTCCATCTCGTCGGCCAGGGACTTGTAGCGGTCCTTGTTGATGCCAAGCTCGTCTGCAACAGGGCCAAGAAACGGTAAGCTCGTCGCTCGTCTGGAGTGCGTGAAGAAAAATGTGACAAAGATAACAGGGACTTCAGCCGACCGACAAAACATTGCTCCTTTAGTCACGAAACACGAAAGTAGTTGAAAAGATCATCACAGTGGAAGCGACATGCAAGCGGGCTCTGAGAGGTTGGTTGGAGGGGGCGGAGACATACGGAGTTCAGGTTGTACGTCGCTCTCGAGCGGTCAATGTGAACGTGGTGTGGGCCATTCAGAAAGACATGAAACTCTGGATATATACAATGTCTTCTACATGCAACCCCATAAGCAACACCTTTCAGTTGGAATTCTCCTTTCATTGTGACTCTCTGGCAACCCCGTCAGTTAGATCGGAAAAGCCATGCAATTTTATGACGATGCACATATT